CAATATCTTAGCTAGGCTTAGCAATGAGTTGCCGCGCTGTGGGACGTGGGTTCGAATTTCACACAGAACAAGTATTTGAATGGCCTACAAATAATTAGAAGAATTTCTGTTTGTTAACTGCCTCCACGATACAAGAGAAAATTCAAGTGTATCGCTATAATATTCTTTTAAAAAATCCAAAACCATAAAAACCGTAAAGAACGCAATAGGTTCTTCAAATATAGATATCGCCGTGTAGAGGCGAAATAACACCGCATTTTGTTCCGTGGGTGAAGTAAAACGCAACTATGGGAAATGCTAAAAGATATCATAGCTTTCGGATATATTGCATTAAACCATCCTATTTACGCCGGACAATATTTGTAACACTACAAATAAAATAAAGCTCTTGAAAAACTGACTATATCAGTCAGGCAGTCACTGCCTTTATTTTACGAATGAAGTGGCAGAATACAGCTTTTTCTTTCAAGTTGTGTTGAATGGAGTTGATGTGAAAGTGACGCGTGATCACGTAGATGCGCGCGTGACACACTTAAAAACTGACATTTTTATTAGGGTTAATTCGTTAAGAAACAATTTTCATATATAGCCTGCTAAGCGAGAGCGGAACCACGTGTTAACAAAAACTGAAGTCGTTATGTTGCACCTCCGTGCAATACATTCGCGCATCATATACTGAACGCGTGTATATATGGAGAAAATGAGTTTAGTTGTTACCTTTCTTCAACATTTACATATAACATCACGCCACTAGAAAAAAAGTCATTACTTATCCATTTAAGAATAAAAAAATAACACTGAATTCATCATTTTTTATTTTTTTTTATTTTATAGAAGAGGGGGCAAACGAGCATGCGGCTTAACCTGATGTTAAGTGACTACCGCCGCCCATGATCAACCGCAACACCAGGGGAATTGCAGGTGCGTTGCCGGCCCTTTAGAAAGGAGTACGCTCTTTTCTTGAAGGTCCCCAGGTCGTATCGGTCCGGAAAAATCGCTAGTGGTAAGCTATTCCACAGAGAGGTTGTACGCGGAAGAAAACTCCTCTTGAAACGTACAGTGGTGGACCGCCAAGCATCCAGATGATGTGGATGGTATCGCGACGTTTGCCGCGTAGTGCGTTCACGAAATTTGGCGCCTGGGATAAATCCGAACAATTCCTCAGAGCACTCTCCATGGTATATGCGAAAGAAAATGCAAAGAGATGCAACATCTCTTCGCAGTGCCAGTGAATCGAGCCGATTGGAAAGCACTCGGTCGTCGACGATTCGAGCCGCTCTGCGCTGGAAGCAGTCAAGTGGAAGGAGCTGGTACTGGGGAGACCCAGCCCAGAGATGGGAACAGTATTCCATGTGCGGCCGAACCTGCGCCTTCTAAAGTTTCAGGCGGTGTGCCGGCATGAAATACTGTCCCGCTCTGCTGAGCACGCCAAGCTATTTAGAGGCCAATATGGCCTTCTGTTCCAAGTGACCACGAAACTGCACGTCACTATATGTCGACGCCGAGGATTCCGATACTGGCTGAGGCAACAAGGGGAGTGCCTTGAAACTGAGGAGATACGACAAAGGGGTACTTTTTAGCGGTTAACGCGCAAACTTGTGTCTTCTGGGGGTTAAACTGGACTAGATTTAGTCGCCCCCAATCCGAGACTCTGTTCAGCAAAGACTCGACTTCAGACACAAGTTTGTCCCGGCACTGAGAGACGTTTTCCCGAGAAATATTGGCTCGGCCGGTGTAAATAGCATCACCAGTGCTGTCATTTGCATAGCAATGAATGTTACGGGTTTGCAACATATCATTGATATGCAGAAGAAACAGCGTTGGCGATAGCACGCAGCCTTGTGGAACACCAGCATTAATAGGCTTACAATCGGAGCTTGCACCGTCTACAACGACCTTGATGCCCCGATCTGCAAGAAAGCTGGCGATCCAATCGCACAATTTCTCGGGAAGGCCATAGGAAGGGAGCTTCGAAAGAAGCGCTTTGTGCCAAACCCGATCGAAGGCCTTCGCAATGTCCAAACTAACGGCCAATGCCTCCCCTTTGGACTCTACTGCCTCCACCCATCTGTGAGTTAGGTAGACCAGAAGATCACCACGGCGAAAACCGTATTGACGGTCACTAATCAGCTGGTGATCCTCAAGGTACCTCATGAGCTGGCAGTTTACAATGGACTCCATAGTTTTGGAGAACAAGGAGGTGATGGCGATAGGTCGGTAGTTGGACGGGTCTGAGCGGTCGCCTTTTTTTAGGGATCGGGTGGACGAAAGCCGCCTTCCATGATTTTGGGACTACGCCTAGGGAGTAGGAGTACCGGAAAAGACGCGTTAAAACCGGTGCCAACTCTGGAGCACACGTCCTCAGCACAATTGGGGGGATTCCGTCAGGCCCATTCGACTTTTGGATGTCCAGGGAGAGGAGTGCTTTGCGAACCGAGCGGACGCAAAGAAAGAGCCTAGAAGATCGGCTTTCTCCTTTGCGGTATGGGCCAGTGAGTCGTCCTCCCTGTGCAGAGATGGAAAAGATGGCTGACAGAAATTCCCCAGGACAGTCTTGGCGAGAGACCAGAATGCACGGGTTCCAGAAGGAAGGCGGACTAGTTTCTCGCCAATTCTGCCTATGTGCTCTGACTTTGCCTTCGCAATGACTCTTTTGAAGGACCTAGAGGTGGAATTATACTTCTTTTTTAGAGCGCTGGTGTTTACATCCCGGGACGCTGATGCGTCAGCCCAGGCTTGGTAGCACTCCTGCTTATAGCATGATGCTATTTTACAGGCGGCAGCCTGCAGATTGCAACTGCGATTTCAGCGTGAGTGGCACCACACTCCGAACAAGACAATGGTCCGAGGAGCCTAAAGGGGCGTCAACGGAAATCTGATATCCGTCCGGGTGAGAGGTCAGCAGAAGGTCCAACAGGGAAGGTGCATGATCCTCCACATCTGGAATCCGCGTAGGCGAAGTAACCAGTTGTACCAGACCATATGCCAAGGCAAAATCATGAACAGATCTCCCCGCATGATCGGTTAAACGTGAACTAAGCCATTCGGCGTGATGAGCGTTAAAGTCACCGAGGATCACGATCTCTGCGGAGGGGATCTGCTGTAGCAACGTATCTGTAGCTATTAGGACGTGGTTGAAGAGTCGGTCTGTTTCGGCATTACCGCTATGGGACCTATAGAGGCACCCGTAGACGCGCGGATGGTCGTCGCTGTCTACGCGTAGCCAAAGGATGAACAGGTCCGAACCTTCAAGTCTGCCGAGGCGTCGAGAACAGATGTCCTCTCTGACGTAAACGGAAACTCATTCATCATTCATCATTATAGTCCTTCACAAGTCCACTGCTGAACGTAGGCCTCCCCCAAGGAATGTCACAAAGCACGGCCTTGAGCCACCTGCTTTGTTCACCTTTGCTTGTATTAAAACAGCGGAATTGTCGTTTGATATTTTACAGATGAATGACATCAAATCCATTATGAAATACAATTTTATGAAAATCCCGAGATGTCTGATTTGCGATAATGCGATGTAAAGGAGGTTGAAAATTAGTGTGTCTCTCGTAATACTGTCACAAAGTGCGAGAATTTGTTACGATTGTCGGGAACAATGGGAGCGTGAAACATTGACTCAGATTATTTTTACCGAAATATAAATTAATGAAACTAGCTTCTTGAGAATAAAATCAATAAAAATAAGAAAATCTTAGTTTTTGTTGTGTAGATTATCACGCAACGCAAACGCGCATAATCTTATAACATACCAAAGAATAACTTTAATATATGATGTAAAAAATTATACTTTTTAAAGAGAAAATTTGAAAAGGCTTCAGTCTATAGAGTATAAGTAAAGTCACTGAATAACAGGGGAGTTCGTAGAGGCCTAGGATGCCCGTTCTATGCAGACTATAGACCACAGCTTGAGTCGATTTTTAGGCATATTTTTATTTACTTACGTTAATTATAAAGTTTTATGAAGAGAGATGTTAATAAAGCCCTCTCTTTATTTAAACTAACATAAAGTACCTGGTTGACCGAGCTTTGCTCGGTATTTTTCGCTCGATTTTTTTTAATTCGTGTGTTTTGGAAATTATATTAAGATACAAATTACATACAGATGAAATATAAATAATATTTTTTGATCTTAACGACATAACAGAAAAAAACGGAACTGGTTATTTGAATAAAAAATCATGAGTGCAATTATTTTAATTTAAATTTTCGTGTTTTTAAAAAATACTAAAAAAGGCTCGAAAAAATAGATTTTCTCAAAAAAGAAAGGAACATGAAAAAAAAATTAAAAAAGTCGGTCGGTCGGTCTAGGCTCGAACCGGGGTTTTAAGATTCTGTGACCGACCATTATACCAGTTAAGCTATTTATAATCACTAATATTCCGTCAAAATTTACCTTCTTATTCTAACGATATTGTAGTAGTTTTTTATTGCCTAAAAACACGGACAAAAAGACATTTTCTAAAAATAAATCCTAGCTAGATCGATTTATGTATTATCCCCGAAACTCCCTGGACACTAAATTTTATGAAAATCGTTGGAGCCGTTTCCGAGATCCCGATTTTATATATATATATATATATATATATATATATATATATATATATATATATATATATATATATATATACAAGAATTGCTCGTTTAATAGTATAGTATTATTTTCCTTTTACTATTGCTAAATATCTCCAATGTAATTGTAGCCAGTCTATGAGTGGTTTAATTATGACAATCATTTATTTTAAGCTCTATACTTATGATAAAAGATGATTGCATGCTTTATTCATTGGTTTCGGATTTTATATACTGGTAGACTTATTACCGATGTAACATTTTTTTAAGACTCAAACTCTGTACGTGTCATAATTTGTATGTATCAATTTCTACGGAACCAGTTACGGACGTTAAATTTAATATTCCGAAACATAAGTTATAATATACAACGATAATTACGAAGTGCACAATGTGAAGCATAACATAAATGAAAAAATATCTCAAAGGCATAATGTGAAGTACGCCACACTAGACACTGCAAGAAACTCTTTTAATGTGAAGTACGCCACACTAGACACTGCAAGAAACTCTTTTAATGTGAAGTACGCCACACTAGACACTGCAAGAAACTCTTTTAATGTGAAGTACGCCACACTAGACACTGCAAGAAACTCTTTTAATGTGAAGTACGCCACACTAGACACTGCAAGAAACTCTTTTAATGTGAAGTACGCCACACTAGACACTGCAAGAAACTCTTTTAATGTGAAGTACGCCACACTAGACACTGCAAGAAACTCTTTTAATGTGAAGTACGCCACACTAGACACTGCAAGAAACTCTTTTAATGTGAAGTACGCCACACTAGACACTGCAAGAAACTCTTTTAATGTGAAGTACGCCACACTAGACACTGCAAGAAACTCTTTTAATGTGAAGTACGCCACACTAGACACTGCAAGAAACTCTTAATGCACTAACCAAGTGAAGTACGCCACACTAGACACTGCAAGAAACTCTTTTAATGTGAAGTACGCCACACTAGACACTGCAAGAAACTCTTTTCTTTTCCAAAGCCCTTTCAGACACTATGACCTATTCCCAGCAGTGACGGCTCCGTGACGTAATAGTTTAGCAATGAGGGCAGCGGGTTTGAATCCTGCACGGAACAAGAACTTTTACAACTTACAAATAATTATTCTGGGTCTGTATGTTTGTCCTTGTGAATTGTATGTATGAATAATTTTTTTAATATACAAAAGAAAAAAAACTTGGGCTGTTTCTTCAGTTTTCATTAAAATTTTACTGTGTTAATATTATAACGATTTATATGACACGCACAAATATCTCTGTTAATGTCAATCATCATTATCATCATCTTAGCCTTTAAAAGCTCACTGTTAAATATGGGCCTCTTCAATGATTGTAGAATTAAGTAACTTCGACGCTGCCGCACCTTGCCAAACAGGTTATTTTAAATGGTTGGTATGGGCTGGTTCCTTAAAAAAAACAATGCGAAACCCATGAGAATTTTTGACATGTTCCATAGTCGCCTCTTACGACACACACAGGATACAATTTAGAGATGTAGTTTCTTATGCCACCTGTACGAAGTACAGTGCGTTGACGTCAGAGCGCGTGTAATCAGCATTTTACACCCTGACCCAAATTATTTAGCTTTAATATCACACTAGGTAAAAGGATAGTTCACGACCGGTCACCAACCAGGCCATTTGTGCTCACCATTAACCATTACCATAGTAACAATTATTTTAATATACTATCCTTGCGCAATTACTTCCGTGTTTTACCATTTTCACCAATTAATTTGATGGATTTATATTTATTATATTATATTTATATGTGAAGCGAATGAAACCCACTCTGAAATGGAACAGAACGACAATGCTTTCAATTTTAGGCACATAGTTTGATTTGTCAACAGTTCCGATTATCTTCAGTCCAACGTTTCATTAAGAGCACGGGAAAGTCAAACAATGGCGCCGTTACGCGATACAATAACATCCATCTGTACGAGGCTTGTTGTTCAGTTTGTTTGCTAGGTTAGTTGCAGCTACATATTGACCGTGTATTGATGTAAACCTTCATATAACACCGGTTTCAAATAGTGAGCTGTTTTATTTATTTAAGATTTGTATATGGTCTAATGTATTGCAAATCCGTACGAGTGTAGAGAACCGGAGCCTCTTTTTGATCATACACATAATATATAATAAACTAGTACAATTAAAATTAAAATACATTGGTCCCCACAGGTAGCCACACCTGCATTTTGATTATCAATCGAGAATAAAAGTTGATGTTTGTGGGTCACAGCATCCACTTAATATTAGCTAGACTGTGTGCCCATTTGTCACCCTTATTTAAAAAAAATTTACTCGACTCTACAGAGTCAGTAATTCATTATTTTACTATAAAATTCCAGAAAATATACAAAATCTGACTTCCACCACGTTTAATAACAATAAGCAAATATTGTACAAAAACTGATTTTATAATACTAAGAAATTTATCGATGATAATAACCCCCGGGTTGTCGCTTCAAAGTTATTTCTTAATATGTTTAATGTTGCTGTTAATCTTTGTGTATTATAATATATGATTGTAAACTGTTTTTTTTTTTAATTTACTGGGCTTCTTGCTAGATATTTCCAGGACAGAGGTATTTTCAGAATCGTGGGTAAATTAAGCATAAAAATGATATTCATTAAATAAGTATTATTTATAAACTATATCGAATAAAAAAGTTTCTATTTATATATATATATATATATATATATATATATATATATATATATATATATATATATAAAGGGGAATGAAAGTGAACGCAAGTAAGACGAAAGTGTTGGTTTTTGAAAGAGAAGAAAGCAAAACGGTATGTGAAATAAGAATAGAAGGAGAGTTAATTGAGCAAGTGGATGAGTTTGTGTATTTAGCAGGGATGGTAGATATGATAGGGATATAGGACGACGAGTAAATGCAGGGAATAGAGTGAATGGGGCACTACACTCTATTATGAAGAACCAGAATGTGTCAAAAAAGGCACGTATGGTAATTCATAATGCTGTGTTAGTCCCTACTTTAATGTATGGTAGTGAAAGCTGGGTGTGGCAGAAGAAGCACGAAAGTATAATAAATGCTGTAGAAATGCGGTCTTTAAGGAGTATGCTAGGGTTGAATCTGAATGACAGGGTGAGAAATTGCATGATAAGAGATAAATGTGGTTTGCAAGATGATGTTGTGGCCAGGATTAAGAAAGGAATGCTTCGATGATTTGGTCATGTAAAAATAATGAATGAAGAAAGAGTGACAAAGTAAATTTATGTTGCAGAAGTGAATGAAAGAGCTGCAGAGGGACGTCCTAGGCAAACGTTTATCGACCAAATTGGCGATATATTGAAAATGGGCTGAATTAGGAGTACCCTTAACCGACAAGAATGTATGCGTAAGTATATGAATGTAGATTAGGCGAGAGAGGTGTGTCAGGATCGTGCCAAATGGAAGTCTGTAGTCTCTGCCTACCCCTCTGGGTGACAGGCGTGAGTGTTTATGTTATATATATGTCATTTGTAGTTGAGTTTTACCATGTAATAGCGACGCAGAGCCCACCACCCCGTTTCCTCTTGTACGTGAAGTAAAAGTTAGCTTACAAAATGAAAGATTTCATGGCTTGCGATAGGTGTCGGTTAATTAACGACCATTTTTACCAGATAACTGCTAAGTCGGTCAATGTACCCGATTATGAGATCTCTAGGATTTCAGATTATAATATTATTGCACTCTCCTCAGTAATAATTTTTGTTGTACTTTATATTTCCTTTTTATTGGTTGTCTGGAGGAAATTATTGTGTAGTATTAAGACCACCTTTTGTTTTATCTAAATGTCGGTTCTTTTTTTATTATTTGTTTTATTAGCGTATAATAAAGGGTATTGTATTGTATTGTTTATTATTGTAAGAGGGCTGATACTTTTCAGCTCATAGCCTATTTATAGCTATTCAGTAAAAATAATGTAGTCAGCGATGTCGGCAGTATACCGCGGAGTAGGATTTTTTTTGCCTTTTTACTGTTATATTTAAGAAATACGATAAGTTAGATCCAGCATGTTTTAAAAACATATACCCGTGCACAAATAATCCAGGTATTATTCGAAACCCTCACTAATACTTGACTACTACCGCTAACGAAAAAGAGACGTCTACAGAAAAGAACATGTAAGATTACTATTTAACCAGGATTTTATACATAATAGAGCCATTCTTCTATTCTAATAGAGATTTTATACCTAATAGGGCCCACTGAAAACCAGCGCTGTTGCTCCGGCGACAGCATAAGCTGAGTGAGGTCCGTTTGTATGACGCGCTACAACATACTCGTACAATATGAGAAACGATTTTTTTGTCTTTCTATTTTGTTTTTAATTGTAATCTATAAGTATACATACTTTTAAATTATTTTATCCGTCAAATTGTTGTTTTGTTTCCTATATTTGTTTTTGTTTGTTATAATGTTTATAATTGATGTGTCAAAATTTAAGTGCCTACTGATGTTTGTGGCGTGCTGCAATAAATCTTTCTTTCTTTTTTTTCTTTCTTTCTTTCCATTCTGCAATGATTAAAGCATAAATTATCTTCCTGTAATATTTTTTCTTCATATTTTCTGGTTATTCGAATTACAGACTTGCTAAAAATCAAATCCCAAGCATCAAGATCACAAACATTATAATACAAATTGCATATTCATTAATTTTAAATTAAAAATCGTGGAACTGCTCCAATCACCATGACAAAGCTGCGCCCTGGCTCTGATTGCTTTTCAATTTAAATGTATAAGTGCAAAATTAATTAATGGAAAACATTAATTCCGCGTCATCTTTCAATTTATTTGATAAAATACATCGAATATTTCGCGTGTAATTTAAAATACTAAACTGTCAGTATACCGAAACGAAGTGGTTTTAAACGAGGCATTCCAGCGCAGTATTACTTAAGGATGACTAGACATTTGCATTTTGATTCTTAATCGAGGATTAATGTAGATGTCTATGGGTCACAGGATTCAAATATCCATCAGGTGGACTGTGTGCTCGTTTGTCACCCTTATTCTATAAAAAATATTATAAAACATGACTATCGCTGAAGTATCGCAACCTATGCGACAGTGTCGCATTTGCACCGCAACCACTGCTGTGTGGTACGAAGCTCGCAGACCGCAGACGTTGTCAAGCGCGACGCCGCGCGGGTGAGACGACGCGACGCGGCGGCTAACTATCAGTAATAATAATAATTAGGCGCAATTCGTGATGAAATTAGGAACCTTGCTGTTTGTAAACTCTCGCCGAACAAACCATAGAAAGGTGTTCTCGGTATTAGAACAAAAATTGACTGTCTCGTTGGTCTGGTGGTCGCAAACGCGGTTTCTGATCTTGAGGTCCGGGGTTGAAATTCCGGGTCGAACCAAAATCAGATATTGAGTGTTTTCTGTCAGAAAAAATTTAGCAGTTTTCCGCCTCGTGCCTCAGAAATCACCTTGTTCCTGTATTTCTCTCCCGTTGTGTGGGATAACGGTCCCATTGGATAATAAGAGCCTTTAGCCTCTGTTCTTATAGGTTAGTATTAAATAGCGTTTATGTTTTTCTTTAAATTATTTTCAGGCTACGAAGCGGTTGCGGTAGGTCGTTCCAATACTTTGAGGGGGCGCGGCGTACCTAAAATTCACACGGAAAGCGGCATTACGGTGGAATGACACGGCGAGTCCTGCCTCGTGCGTCAAGTTATTCTCGCCCGGTCAGGAAAGGGTTATTTTTGACTCGTGGCTTATTATTTTTTATATTTATTTATTCTGAAAAGTAGCGTTGCTAAATTAAAGTGTCGAGAAGTTTTCATTTTAAATTGTTGCCTCCGTTGATGTACGGCGTAACGTGAGTGCGTGGCGGTACCCCGAAGCAAAATCTTGCACAGACGTTCTGCACTCGCTGAATGAAATCTTACCATAAACTACATTTACATAGTTAAATTTAGAAAGAATCAACGACTCACAGATTCACACGACAAAACACAAGATCTATGAGAACCCGTGCAGTCTCGTGGTCACTTGGAAGAGAAGGCCAAATTGGCCTCCAAAAAGCTTGGCGTGCTCAGCAGAGCGGGACAGTATTTCATGCCGGCACACCGCCTGCGACTTTACAAGGCGCAGGTTCGGCCGCACATGGAATACTGTTCCCATCTCTGGGCTGGGGCTTCCCAGTACTAGCTCCTTCCACTTGACCGCATTTAGCGCAGAGCGGCTCGAATCGTCGACGACCGAGTGCTTTCCGATCGGCTCGATTCACTGGCACTGCGAAGAGATGTTGCATCGCTTTGCATTTTCTTTCGCATATACCATGAAGAGTGTTCTGAGGAATTGTTCGGATTAATCCCAGCCGCCAAATTTCGTGAACCCGATACCATCCACACCATCTGGATGCTTGGCGGTCCACCGCAGTACGTTTCAAAAGGAGTTTTCTTCCGCGTACAACCTCTCTGTGAAATAGTTTACCACCGGCGATTTTTCCGGACCGATACGACCTGGGGACCTTCAATAAAAGAGCTTACTCTCTTTCTAAACGAACGGCAACGCACCTGCAATTCCCCTGGTGTTGCGGTTGATCATGGGCGGCGGTAGTCACTTAACATCAGGTGAGCCGCATGCTCGTTTGCCCCCTCTTCTATAAAAAAACCTGCTTAAAAG